AGCTCCGGGAGGCGGGCCTTGGGCAGGGTGTTGCTGCAAGGGGTTACCCTGCTGCCGCTGCTGAGGTGGCTGCTGGTACTGGCTTTGAGCCGGCGGGGTGGGCTGCTGTTGCGGAGGGGGCGTTTGACTCTGCGAAGTCTGGAAGGGCAAAGCCCCGAGCTGTGGCGGGCCCTGAGAGGCAACGGTGCTGCCGCCGCCATTGTACCGCGATTGCAGAACTCCAGAGTTGCGGTTGGCCTGGAATTGCTGCTGCTGGCTGGGCTGTTGGTTCAGCATGTTGCTGGTGCTGAAGCTACGGCCATGCTGCTGCGGCTGAGGGGCGGACTGCTGCTGAGACGAGGGACGCTGCTGTTGAGCTGCCGGCATGCTAGGCGGTTGGAAGCTCGACGGGGACTCGGCGGGCGGTTGAAAGTTGTTCGGCCTGGCGGGAGGCGGCATTTGCTGCTGCTGCTGGTTCTGCGCAGGCGGTGGACCGCTCGGCGTCATCTTCGGCACGTTTGAGACCGAGGCATTCGGCTGGTGGCTCATGTTGGGATTGCGAGGTGTCGCCAAGATGGGGTTCTTTTCGTACTTGATTTCGTTGTTCGCCGGTAGCTTGGAGTGGTGGCTCATCAGAACGTCGCTCAGGTCCTTCTCGTTGTTGATGGCCATGACGGCCTCGCGGAGACTGCGCGGTCCTCCTCCAGAACCCTGCCCCTTGATTGGGCTAATACTAAGGCCGTTGCTCAAGAGGAGCTTCTCGCTGAAGGACGCTGCCAAGATGTTAGCTCAAATCGGCCAAGTTGATCAACATCACCTACCGAATTTCTGCATCTGAAGTGCCAGCCCGGCATCTGTGTCCCTAACCAGGTCCTGGAGCGCAGCTATAGCCTCGGGTCTTGTCCTCGCAATCAACTCGGCCTTCTCGCTCTGCAATGTCTGAACCTTGGCCTGGTAGTCCTGGTCGGCGGCTTGTGCCTTCCTCAAGAGGTCCTCCTCGTGTTGCGGTCCCGACTTGGCCTTCAAACTGAACATCTTTCCGCTGTTCCTGCTGGTATCGCCGGTACGCGCGCGGTCGTACTCCTCTGCCAGGCTGTCGTACTTGGCCTTTGACTTGCGCATGGCGGCCTCGAGGTCTGCCACGCGATGCTCCGCCGCCAAGCCGTTCGCCTTCCATCCTTTCCGGCTGCGCTCGGCCATGGCGGCCATCTCGATGAGGTCGTCGTGCATTTGGTGCAGTGAAACGGCAAACTGGATGCCGTTCTCGGCCATGCGCTCGTGGATGTACATCATTTCGGTGTAAGCCTGGGCAAATGAGCCTTGCTTGTGTTCGGGCTGGTGCATAGTCTCCTGGCTCATGCGAGACAGCTTCTTCATCGCGGACGCGTGCGTTTCTTCGATGTGTGATCGCTTCTTGAGGAAGAGGGCGAATTCCTGGCGGGGTATGCGTCAGCGGCCGCAGCGACTTGCGAATGGACCAGCGTTGCTCACCTTTGCAGACGCGATGCTCGCCTTGAGTTGGTTCAACATGGTTGACACGCCAATCTGCATGCTTGTCAGCGTCCGGATTGTGGGAAGATGGCATGCGGCCGCCTTACATCGGACGACAGGACTTCTTGGACCTGGCGCGAGATTTCTGGGTTGGGCGCCGAGGGTGTCTCGGCACTGGCGGCGGCGGCGGCAGCGGAGGCGCCGTTCGCGGGGCCATTTGTGCCATTCTGTGGTGGTGTTTCTGTGTTTCCGAGCGACATGCTGCTCGTTCTATCGCGCTGCTCTTCGTTGGTTGCAGGCAGGTTGTCGTCGGAGGGGGAGCGGAGGTCGGCCATTTTGAGGGATCGGGAGAGTTTGGCAACTCGGCGCAAGTGTCACGGAGTGGTAATACGAGGATTCGGGGCTCCAGTGGCGACGGCGGGAGGCTTGAATCGGGGGGTTGGACAAGGAAGTTCCAAGAGGTCGGTGGTTTCGAGCGTCGGACGTGTGATTGCTCAATATGCTGTGTGGTGGTGTAGTCTGTGTTCGCCGAGGTGGCAGTCTCTGGTCGAGGCAAGTTCCCGGGCGCTGGCTCTTTGGGAATCTGATCAGGTGGAGAGGCAGGGGGTGAAACGGGGGAGATTCATGCGAGAAGGGAAGCTCGAAGACGGGAAGGATGGGTCGTCCAATGTGACTCGTGAGTACGGGGAAGTGATGGGTATCGTGTGGAAGAAATGTGGCCTCGAACGGTGCACACGGATGAGCGCGGCGAGAGGTGGTGGTGGTGGTGGTGGTGTGCTGTGCGTGTCGAGCTGCAGTGACCGGGGAGCACGGAGGACGGAATAACGTGGGACGAGAGCGACGAGGATGAGGACGAGGACGAGGGGGGTAAAGGCCGCTAAGCAGCTCAAGGACAGCCGGGGCGACGGGGGTGGCGCCTGAGGGGAGCTGTGGGTGATGGCGGGTGGGCTGGACGAGGGTTGCTCTGCGTGGTACCTTACCTAGAGCCTGGAGGCAAGGCAAGGCAAGGTACGTCAGGGTCCAGCGACCACCAGACAAGAATCCAGACACAAAGTCTACAGAGACGGACGGACGGACGGAGAGGGGGGGAAAAAAAAACAGAGGAAAAAAGAAGTTGATCTGGAAGCAGCATGGAATCTGCAATGGAATGTCTCGGGTTCGGAAGACGAGACGAGACCAGACTACTGTGCCTTAACCTTAGCGCAGCCAAACTCCTACCGCAGTACCACTAAACTTTGAGAGAGGAAGCTGCTTCCGCTGTTCACTCTGCACGTCGCACGGACAAGAACGTTCAAGGACAGTCAAGTAGGTCTTGCAGATTGACATTGGATGCTGCTGCAGTCAGCCCAGCTGGGAATAGCTATTGCAGCTGCAGTTGGGCAACCGTGGTGCGCTTTCGTCCTGTTTGCTCGGCAGATGCAAACGGAACCTGCAGCCAGCCTTGCGAGACAAGACAACACATTGAAGCGAGCTGTGTTGGTTAGCTAAGATATGTCTGGCAGTTTGCGACGCGCGGATTCGGAGGCGAAGCACCACCGAAGAATGCTGATATGCGCCGCCGGAGCTGCGACACAATCCAACACGTAAGATGAAGTACATGGTCCATACAAAAACAGAATCACAGACGAATATCATTGTGTGTGTGTATGTGTGTGCAGGAGGGCATAACCAATTGTCTCCTTCATCGGGCACCAACCTCATGAGCCCGCATCTATGAATAGCGACAGATAAACATCCATGATCCAGCAGATCGCGCACCCTCATTCCAATTCCTCCACTCTCCAGGCTAAAACAACTCATCGAACATTTTAGAATGGTTCCCATCCGCCAACACCACAGACCTCGCACCACCACCGCTGCCAATCGCGGGTGTCCTACTCCCCTTCGAGTCTAGCCCCCTTCAGTTGAGAGCTGAGCACAGCCACCGCTGAAGAATTCGGGGCCCGCGTGGGATGGCCCGTCATCATCTGCATTGCTGAACGACACACATGCACACAAACCTGAAGCAAGCCGCACGGAACGGGGGAACCAAGCAAGATAGTAGACCAGCGCAACACAGACTGCAGCAGTGTCGCAACAACGAACCAGAGCTTCTCCAACTTGATGATCCTCTTCAGCCCAGTGACACCTCGCTTACTCCGGGAAGCCAAGTCCAACCCAAATAAAGTTCGCAAATCTCACTCACGGTCCTGTTCGCTCCCGGCCGCAGTTTAATTGCCATCAGGACGACCCTGAGTGGGACCGTATTCCAGCTTAAGCCTGCCTCCAGGGCTCGTATTCCGCGACTTTTGAGTTGCAGCGCTGCGCTCGCAGTTATTATCTGATCAACTCGGCTCAGGCTGCCGTTGCAGCCCGCTCAATTATCATCGTGTGCTCAGTCCTCTCTGCAGCTCAACTCGCCAAGTTCTACAGGCGTCACACGCACATCATGTTGAGGCACCCCGTCACATTGCTCAACGCCAGCAACCTCCCGCGCCCCGTCAACCTACCTTACATTCTTTCATGCAGGGCCCCATCAACTCGGCAGAGCGAACCGCTGCATCTTCACAAATCTCCAAACCGGCGTCGTCCTCTTCCTCTTCGTCCCAAAACCGTCCCCTCGACGTCGATCTTGGTTAAACTGTATCATCCCCCTTGTCCCAGAACCCCGGCACCACCACCACAACCACTACCATAGTAGCAGACAAGCACTAAACCCCCGTCTTTCTCAGACCACAGAACCACAACGTTCAGACCACTGCAACCGAACAGCTTAAACGGTTCGAATCCTCCTCACTCAAAACCCACCCCCACTTGCTCGGCACTTTTTTTTTAACTTCTCGAACAACCAAACACTCGCCTCACTTAACCATGCTAGCTCACAGTCCCGTTCGTCTAGACTAACCGCATGAAAAAGGTGACAGCTCACGGCCCCCAGGTAGCGGTCGCGGATCCACAAGCCCTGCAGCAGTTGCTAGAGAATGAGAGCAGAGCCTCAAGAGCCACTTAGGAATAACCTTGTGGTCTAGCAGATGGATTAGGGCATAGAGGGTTCAAAACCTGCGTGAAGTGTCTTGATTAATCTATTGACGAGCGCTGGGCGTGCCTGGCTACAAAAACGCGTAGGCGATCCCTTACGTGACAATGGCCAAGGGCCGACTTCCGTCTCGCGAGAGCGGCTGGAATCAAAAGATAACATCCGTCAATCAACATCCGAGTCAACCTTGTGTTCTTTGGCCAACCAAAAACTCCGTAGGATCGCGTCGGGCGGCGGTGAAGCATCACTCTCTAAGCGAACCATTGGTAGAAAGGTCTGATCTGTGTCGAGACGAGATGGTTTTTTTTTTGTTTATCCGAGGCAAGTTTGATATCCCAGTGACGGCCTCGAGCATTAGTCGTGCCCAGCCTTCGAGTCGATGGAGAATAAGCGTGGCCCGTCGCCAACTTCGTGAGCTATCAGCTTTCCGATGCTACCATCTCGTGTTTTTGGACGACACAACAGCGTTTTCCGGGACACTTTGGAATTCTTTTGAATTTCTCGACAATGAAGGCTATGCTTTGCATCTCTCGTAGCTTGAGTATCCCATGTCATCCGACCATTGAGTGAAAGAGGCGACCAGCGAAGGACTGATCCCTCGGTTCGTTTTGAGGAAAATCGTCTCGTACGGATGGACACTGAAGCCGAAGTATGCTCCTTCTCTAAGAGTATCTTGAACATCCGGCATAATGGAAGCGCAGTATGTTTCGGGATCGGTGTCTTTGTGGAAGGACGTCAGCAAGGCGTCGGCCTTGTAGCCAGCCTTCGTAATGATCGAGGTGCTTCCTATCTCGGCATGGACAGCCTGGTTATATTCGTTGTAGCAGCCGCTCAGCCCAACACCGTCGTCTGGAGTGCCCCAGTAATCTGATTCGGAAGGCTTGCTCAATTTCGGGTCAAGGAGTAGCCCCATGCCGATCGAGTCTGTCGCCCAGATCATGGATTGAACATGATATCGAGGGGAACAGTTAACAGTCATTCCAACAAGCTACGTGCCACGTCAATTAGGCTGGGATTCAGATGAAACAGCGAACCAATCAAACTAATTACCTTTACTTCGTCTGTAATAAGATCAAGATACAAGTCGGACCAACAACTCTTACTCCAATATGGAAGGAAGGGACCCCGTATGCTGGCGTTCATGGTTATGAACCGGTCGTACTTTTTCCATAGATTGTGTGATCGCAGAACCTCTCCCATGGCTCCCAAGTCGAAGCAAGTGTTGTCCCTACTGACTACCCGAATATTTGGTTTTGTGCGTGGCACCAGCTCACTCGCATTCGTCTCACCATTGAAAATGAAGACAAAATCAGCAGCTGAGTGCAAGCCATGCTCGATAAAAAAGCGGATGTTCTCTCGTGCTTCGTCGGATTCGTAATACGTATAAAGCACCAAAAGTCGATTTGGCGATTTCGTTGTGTCCGGTGTCTTTGGGGGGATGGGAACCTCTGCATGAGGGTCCTGGTAAACCGATTGCTCAAGCGATCCATACTAGTAGAAGTCAGTGGTGAATTATGAGCCACGTACTCGAGACCGTGAACATACTAACGACTCTGTCGGCAAGGAGAGAAATAGCAGGGCTGCAGCAATCATCAGAATCATGATTGCACGGTAGGCAGCAACTCGATAACCAATGGTCGAGAACATTGGAAAGACCAGATAGCCTATGCTATTTCCCCCAAAAGAGAAAACAAAATCAAAAAAAGAAGTATATCACATGCGGCAAGGGTGCAGAAACGCAGCCTACATATGGGCTTTCGATCTGAAAGATCCCCAACTATACCACGTTGCGTATCGCTAGCGGGCATTCTTTCCTTGCCTCCGTTTTTGTCCTTCCTTTTTTTCTTGAACAAATTCTCGCAAGCGACTAGCCACGCCACGAGGAAAGTGCGCTCACTAATCTTGACATCAGAAAGGGGGCATTCTTTTGCCCCAACTTTCAAGACGATACATAGCTTGCTCTGTCCTTGAAAGGGGCGTGTGGCTTGCCGCGGAATGAATGATGTCCGATCCAGCCATCAAGAATCGTACAATACAAGCCTTGAATGTTTGTTAGCGTGGTACTTCGTTAGAAGACTGTCTCTCTTTAGTGCCTACTTCAGTCTGTAGGAAGTATTCTTTTGTCTTGGAGATAACGAGTCGGTTCAGATAGAGGGTGGAATAAACTTTCAAGGGTCGTGTTATCTTCTTCCCTTCTAACTTTTCCTTCGCAGTCTGCCGCCTGGAGGCGCACCTTGTTGACTGCCGGGTGACTCTCACGGGAAAATACTCGAGGGCCAGGATGGCTCACAGAGAGACCTCGATGGCTACCTATGGGGGTATATGAATTCCAGTCTATGAGTGTGAAAAACGGTGTTAACTGGTTTGCCAGGAGAAGAAGGGTTGCGTTTCTCAGCATACTGTGCAAAGAATCATATAACACCGCCCACCGCTATCACCCGAAACATACACAGGGGAACCAGAGAAACAAGGGGAACAAAATCCGATGATTCTTGCGCTGTCGTTGACCAAGGGAGTGATAGACTCCACCAATTAATTGCCAAGGGAGCTTTTAGTGAACCCCGGCCGCCCTGGATTCTTTCCGCGCCAACATGGCGTAAATCGAGGTGTAAATAAGCACGCGATTCCCATTCCGAATCATTGAATTCATTCTAGATTCATTAGTGGCCATGCCGGGAGACAAGTGAGGAATGGTAGAACGACAGCCTCATGCCAAATGCGTGTGTGCGTGGAGGCCCGACAAGGGAGCTGAAAAAGAGAGGACATAGGAGACGGCTGACAGCACAAAGAGGCGCGCCCCCCGTCGCGCCATCTGACTACAGTCCTAGGTTCAAATATCAAGAAGAGACATACAAGAAGTATGAGAGAAGTGGGCTTAAAGCTCGAGTGGGATCGTCGGAAAAACCCACGATCTGGTTGCGTAAAGTATCAATCTCGTTCCATTGTTGCTGCCGCATTCGCCTGGTTACCGTCCATTCTTTTTACGGTTCACTTATTCTTACCATGGTCGCCATCTTGGGTTTCAAGTTGACCAGTAAGCATCCTTTTGAGGGCCATGGCAAGTTTAAGCGGAAGCATTGCACTCAATTGATAATCATCATCGTTTTCATTTTGCTACTGACAATCTGGAAGGTATTCAAGGTATCACTTTGTTGAATCGACCGGTCCTTTCTTCTGCAATCATATTTTGGTCCAGGAAAAAACATCAGAGCATGAGCATTGAAATGTCTTTTGAATGAACAGGGAACCTAAAACCTTAAAACTAACGTGGGCAATGTCTATTGCGAGCCAACTCTTCCTCTCAGCCTTCAAATAGTATTGTTCGACAGAAATCCGATGGTCAGTCATTTATTAGCGGCCAGTGACAAACAAAAGAATTAAAAGCTTCGGCAAGGATAGCGGGTGCTCCTCTAACATGACCATGTAAGGCGCATGAGCCAGGGCATATCTGTTCAAGGGCTACAGTGCGTGGAGCAGCTGAAACCCTGGATTGCATAGGCAACAAAGGGATAGATATCATCCTCAAGATAACTGACACAACCAGTATCAATCATGCCGACGATGCATTCCAGCAACCATCCAACCCTGTACTCGGCGGCGTTTGGCTCCATCCAAGGAACCCCTTCGTTCGCTCCTCGAGTCTTCTCCCAGGGAGGAACGAGTGCAAGTCGACTGTGTAAGAACCCACCGGCCTCACCTCATCAGTACTCGAATGTGAGATGGTCTCTGCTACCAAAAGCATCATGCTCCCAGACCGATGTGCCGCGGATTAACAGAGATCTGATATAACACACCATCGCCGTCGCCAAACCACCTTCAGACGAGCGGGTGCATGATCCCCCAATGAAGCATATGCGCATAGGGTACAACGCAGACGTCAGCCAATGCAGGCAAGCAAGCCCTGGCTCCCCCCCTCACTTGCGAAAACCTTCGAGGATTCAGGGCGCAGTCAGTCAGCCAAACAGCAGGTTCGCATATCGTGAACCACCCGCAAAAACGCCCGTCACTTAGCAGCGGCGGCCCACTACATGCCGAGCGTGACAGCCGTCATCGTCTCATGTCTCTCACATCGTGCGGTACTCCACGCGCAGGCATTACATTCAGTAGTGAGATGTTGGCGATCACGTCCGAACAACAACCCGGCTCTCGCCTCATCTTCCGATTCGTCTTCTATGCCATTTCCATAAGATGGTCGACTTCTCCCAGTATTACGCCGTTCCGTTCCGGATTCTCACGGGACTTCACGCCGGTATTCCTCAAAAGCTTCGCGCCATGCAGCCCCTTTGCGTCAGCAAATGCCTCCTCCCCCTTACCAAGCATCCTCCCGTAATGACCAACCCTTCCCACACCCTCAGAAAAACACCAGGTCCAAATGCCTCTTGTCGTCCGTGTACCTCTCCTTCAGCTCCTTGCGCGACAGCCACCTCGCAAGCGGCAGCATCGTGTCCTTCATGTCCATCACCCCGCGCTTCTTCGAGTCAATGTGCGACGCGTCGACCACCACGCGCTGCACCTTGTCCAGGCACAGCGCGCCGTTGTCCGCGAGCTCCATCAGCCGCGCCGGCGTGCCGACCGCGATGCCCGTCCTCGTGCCCTGGAGGAACTTGACCTGCTCCTCGACCTTCATGTGTTTTGCAAACTGTGACAGCCGTTAGTGATGACAAAACAAGGAGAGACCAAAACTGACCAGCTTCGCCACGGTGCTCTTCTTCGTCTGGAACCCCCTCACGGCCCTCACAATGTCCGCCGCCCTCAGCCCCGCGCCCGCGACGATGATGGTGTGCGGCGTGCCCTTCTTCTCCGGCGCCGTGGGCAGCTTCTCCGGCTTCTCGGCGAACTTTTCCAGGAACGCCGCCAGCTTGTCCGTGGACCGGGGCTCCGTCCATGACGTGGTGTCCTTGATCGCGTTTGCTGCGTGTGTGTGTAAGCGTTGGTACATTCTCTACCTCTCCTCACGTGAGAGGAAACATGAAGTGAGTGAGATGCGACACAGAGAAGAAACTCACCTGAGAGGGACAGATCGGAAATCTCGACGGGGCTGAGGTCCGTCGCGAACCGCGCGAGCTTCTGAGCGGTGTAGTCCGCCAGCAGCTGGTTGTCCATGACGGCGAAGGACTCGTTGATGCCCAGCTCCTCGTTGAGCAGCGTCTCGTCGACGGTGTAGGCCGACTTCTTCTTCTTCTTCTTGCGCTCGCCGTCCTGGTCGGGGGCCGCTGCTCTCTTCTTGGAGTTGGACATGGTTTTGATTATTCGGCGAGGGTTACCTGGATCTTGCGGTTGGTTGAGCGGCGAGGTGACGCGGAAAATTTCAGGTCGATTAAGGATATCAAAATCTTGGTGAAGGTTGTTGAATGAGACTGAAGGTGTCGCCGCTGAGACGAAAAATTCAGATCCATGTCAGGGAAAAGTCAGTTTCGCACTGTGGGACCACGCATCCGGGGGGTTGGAGCGTGGGCCAGACCGCTGGACTTGACCGCTACAAGGTGCACAGTGCGGCAGATAGGGAGGCTAAAGCGGCCGGTGACATGCCGTGGCAACTCGACTTCGTGGACTCGACTTCATGTTGGCGACCCCAAAACCAGGCAACGTCTCAGACTGAGGTTTTGGAAAATGACACTGAGTCCATTAAATATGTGGTTCTACAGATAACACAGAATGTGGAAAAGGCCTGAATAACTTAACTAATGAGTGGTCTACATAGACACAGCCAGCCGGCCGTCGTCTAAGCCAGTCAAATGAGACGTAGAAACACAGATATTCCGAACGTATGAGCAGCATGCCCGAGGAAATTTCGGCCTGCTCTTTTCATCTGAGGTTATAAATACATGGCCGTCATAGAAGCATTAGACAATTCATGGGTTACCATTCACATTTTCTGCTCATACGTAGCTATACTATGCAGTATTCCTCACGTTTGCAATCAGCCTAAAGCTAAGAGAATTAATGGGAAGAAAAAAGCAACAAGAATGACTTGATGAGAGCCGATGAGAGGCAATGATAGCGATGAAGACAATGAAGATACGACAGAGCCATAGTATATAAAGCTTATAAAGCACAATCAAAATGCATAGTCTCTTCACTGCAACCAAGTTCACATACTAGGCCTTCGTGCTCGGAATGTCTTCAAGCACATGTAACGACAGCCTCAAACCTCACCAGACAACCGCAGAATTTATCCTCATCTGCCAACAGTACTACCCATGCAATGCAACCACCTCCATAAAAGCCATGCATCACCACAAAATCCCCGCCGCCGCCGCCGCCCATCCTCCGGCGCGAAATCCCTACCGGAACCGCTGGTCCCCACACCCAGGCCGCCGAACAGGCCGCATCCACCACCCCCCCTTTGCACCTGGTGCAGCGTGCCCCCGACCGCCTCGGCGGCCCCCACAAAATTTTCACGCGCGCTGGGCTCTGGCGCTCCCTTATCCCCCCACTCCGACGACTCAGATAAGAGATTTTTTTGCCCAGCGCCGTCTCGTCGTCCGCCGGCCTACACTCGTTGCGTCCCTCAACCCAAACCATTTTTCCTTACCAAAATTCCCGGGGCGGCATTCGCGTTTCTATACTCCACCAAGTCGGCCGAACCCGTCCTCTCGCAGACCCAATTTGTCTCTGAACCGATTGAATCACCCGCGGCCGGTTAAGACATCACAATGGCCTCCGCCGAGCTCTCCAAGAAGCGCAAGCGCGCCGACGACGACGCCGCCGCCGCGAAGAAGTCCAAGTCCGATAAGAAGGACAAGAAGGAGAAGAAGGAAAAGAAGGCCAAGGCTGTTTCCACCGAAGACGAGACCGCCCCTGCAACCGACGAGTTCATCGCGCTCGAGGAGTCCAAGAAGGACAAGAAGGAGCGCAAGCGCAAGGAGAAGGAGGCCCGCAAGGCCGCCGCCGCTGCTGAGGAGCAAGAGGAGGCGGCAGACGTCTCGGCCATGGACGTTGACCCGCCCGCTGACGGCGAGAAGAAGAAGAAGAAGGACAAGAAGAGCAAAAAGGCCAAGACGGAGGAGGAGGAGGCTGCTCCCGCGGAAGAGGAGGTGAAGGAGGAGAAGAAGAGCAAGAAGGAGAAGAAGGACAAGAAGAAGGAGGCCAAGACCAAGGAAGAGACCAAGCCCGAGACGAACGGCGAGGAAAAGTCCAAGAAGAAGGACAAGAAGAGCAAAAAGACCAAGGAGGAGCCAACCGCCCCGGCACCGGCGCCGGCTGCTGAGGAGCAGGAGGAAGAGCCCGCCGAGGGCGGCAAGAGGGAGAAGTACATCGTCTTCGTCGGTGAGTCTCTCCCCTTTCCAAGACAACTGCGACCACTTCCCAAATACTAACCCACACCGTCCCCAGGAAACCTGCCCTACACCGCGAACAAGGAATCCATCCGCGCGCACTTCTCCGCCTACAACCCCTCCGCCGTCCGCTGCCTCAACAAGGACAACGACCCCAACGTCTGCCGCGGCATCGCCTTCCTCGAGTTCTCCAACGGCTCCAACATGCGCACCTGCCTCGACAAGATGCACCACACCGAGTTCGACGACGGCCTGTCGCCCGCGCGCAGGATCAACCTCGAGCTTTCGTATGTACTCCCTTCTCCCCTCTCTGTCTCTGCCTCAACGGACCCGTATGCTAATCAAGGTCTCTCGCACAGCGCCGGCGGTGGCGGCAAGAGCAAGTTCCGACGCGAAAAGATCAAGTCCCGCAACGTGCAGCTCGACGAGAACCGCGTGAAGCGCATGCAGAAGGAGGAGGAGTACAAGAAGCAGAGGGTGTCGGAGGGTGGTAGCAACACCCAGCAGGATAGCATCCACCCAAGCCGTCTCGCCTTGATGCACCAGTAATCAGTTGGGGGGTTTTCGCAAAATGTATGATTCGTAATTGGCAGCAGGTGTCTGGGCATAGACAGAGAGAGAGCTCTTGTATACACTCTTGACAGCTTCGCGCAGGATCAGGATTAGGATTCAGAAAAGTTTTTTTTGTTTCAATGCACGCAGGGCAATTCACACTTTGGTTTCTAAGCCCTTTCTGTTCTGTTGCAATAGCTGCAGGTTCCAGTCTAGATACCAAAGGGCACTTGCAATGACAATCAATTCTCAAGGCGAAGCTCGTATCCCGTCCCAACCCCAATATCTAGTTCCTCCATGAAAAAAGAAGTGTGTGTGTTTGTGACTGTGTGTGCTATCTACAGAAAAGCTTGGGATATCCTTTGTGTGATAAGATGCAAAGCTTGCCTGCTACCAACGAACCCCCCTCCCTGACATTTGCAGCAACTCTCTTTGATCTTTTCCGATGAGAAGGAGGGAAAAAAGAGCGACAACAAAAAACCACCACCATTCCTGACACCGCCACACCTATCTGAAAGATACTCTCATGTCCAGCACACACAAGCGCAGGCTGAGCACGTGTGTAATAATCGGGGGTCGTTGCCGTCATCGCAGGCTATGCTTAGCTCGGCCGTCATGTGGGGTGCTTCCGAAAAGTATTGGTTGTTTCCTCCAAGATAAGCGCAAGGCGCGGGTCGAGCAACATGGTTGAGCCCTGACGGTCAGGTAGTGAAGATCGGTTCATGTAATCCACCCCGATACGCCGTTTCCAATGTTAAACCCGCAACGCTCAAGTTCAATTGACGTGTTCACAAAATCGTGCACTTGGACTTCTTCTTCTGCTGAGGAACAGGCCTGGGGTTGAGGACAGCACTGGGAGGAATTAGTAGGTTGGTGGTGGTAGGCTGTAATTATTGAGACGTACCGGATAGCCTCGTCGAAAACGCTCTTGAGATTTCTCTGCGTCAGGGCAGAGCACTCCAGGTACTTGTGTGCCTTGATTTCCTTGGCGCAGATCAGAGCTTGATCGTATGACACGGGCTCCATGCGCTTCTGGCGGAGAGACTCGAGGGTGTTGGGGTCTTCTCTCAGATCCAGCTTGGTGCCGACGAGGATGATGGGGATGTTGGGCGCGTGGTGGTCGATCTCGGGGTACCACTGCGCATGATTAGTGCTGATCTTCACGCGGTGAGGCTGCAGGATGTCATACCTTGGCCTTGACGTTGTCAAATGATGGCGGGCTGACGATGGAGAAGCAGATGAGGAAAACGTCGGTCTGGGGGTAGGAGAGCGGGCGCAGTCTGTCGTAATCCTCCTGACCGGCAGTATCCCACAGTCCCAAGCTAATTGGCTTTCCATCGACCATGACACTCGCAGAGTAGTTATCGAAGCTGTTCCGGTTATTAGATTGAGTCTTGCCGTCGATCGAGGACGCGAGGCTTACACAGTGGGGATGTACTCGCCGGGGAAGGCGTTCGTTGTGTAGGAAATGAGCAAACATGTCTTTCCGCATCGTTAGCTGGCAGTCGGGAGATGCGATGCTGGTCGAGACTCACCTTTCCGACGGCACCGTCACCCGTCACCACACACTGAGATGATCATTAGCCTTTTGCTGCCACCGGGCGCTGTCGAGATGGCGATCGCGACGAACCTTCAGCGACTGAACTCCTGGCTGAGCCATTTCTGTGATATTTTGAAGAATGCGTGATTCGATTCCACGACAGTGTCTAGCGCGAATAGAGTTCGCGGGTTAGGAAGGGCGGCGTCGAATTGGGGACCGATCCGAAAGGGGAGACGGCGAGATCAAGTGTGACGCAAGGTTGCTGAGTTGGAGGGACAAGGGAAAATGGCTGAACGTTTCTCGGCAGCAGCCCTCGGACCTTGGTGCTAGGAGCTCGCAATTATTGGTGTGAGGTATAGGTGGTCTGGTATAGTAAGGTGCGGGATGGCACGATGTGGGCGGCGACGAACGTTGTGTCGAACAAACGGAGCGGAATGCGTTGCAGGTGGTAGGGTGTCGATTGAGCGAGTCTCGAGCGGTCGGTCAGCGACGGGAAACGATGGCTCTGTGGGCGGTCGGTGGAATGGTGTGTGATGTCGAGGTGTGTGGTAGAGTAAGGTAAGGTGAGGTAGGCAGAGCAAGGAGAGAGGCAAGATGCAGAGCAGAGCGGAGCAGACACAGACTGCGCGGCAGCAGCTTCAGCAAAAGACAGTTGCGGAGTCTAAGCTCTGGTGGGTTCCCTGGGCTGCATAAAAAGTCGAGGTCAGAAATGTTTTGACACAGCGGAAGGAATTAGTGCCGCAGGAGGTGAAGCTGGAAGGGTGATAACGGTACCCTGTATATCTAACCTTCTTCTCAGGCAAAGAAAGTGGGGATGGGGGCAATTGGGAAACCTGAGGGAAGGGAAGTGGAGGGGGTCGGGGTGGGAAGCGGTTTAGGTAGAGTCGCAGCGCGGTAGGGTCGTCGTATGGTCCAGTCCAGTCTGGTCTGGTCCCCGTCTGCTTTGGGTGCTGACCTGGTGCGGTGGTGCGGTGCTGTGCTGGGTGTTGGTGGTGCTGGTTGGTGCTGATGCTTGGTGTTTGGCGCTGGTGGTGGCACTCGCTGCACACAGTACCTGCTGCTGCTGTCTGAAGTAGTGGCCGGGGCAGGCAGGCACAACCAGGCAGTCGATTGGGAGTGGGAGGAGGAGCGGACGGGCAGGAAGCAGACAGGCAGGCGGATAGGCCAGGGGGGGAGGAGAGGCGAAGGTCACGAAGGATAATGGCTGAAGAAGAGAGAGAGGCAGAGAGGAGGGGGGATAGCTTACCGTTTGGCAAGAGGGAGAGAATGACTCTGTTATCGTGCGCAAGTCAGTTGGATGTTGGAGTTTGGCCGTTGTTGGAAAAAAGGACGACGGGCGAGATGGATAGGTAGATGTCGAGGAGACAAAGGCGACGAAGCAGAAACAAAAGGCGAGAACAGACGCTTCGAGTGTGGAGGGGGAGGGATGGGAGGGTGCTGCAGCAGTTGGTTGTGGTAGTGGTAGTGGTGGTGGTTGGAGACGGCGACAGCGAGCAGACGGACGGCGGTACAGCCAGATGCAGTGTGGACCAGGTACAGAGGGTAAGGGGAGCACAGCGATAGGTACCCGGGACTGAAGGGAAACAGCCGTACAGACTGCCACCCAGGCAAAGTACACCCAGCAGAACTGCGTAGTACTTGCGGACCCAGGCAGGTTCGGGTTCAGGATGGCACGTACCGGTGTGCGGTCTGCGATGCGATGCGATGCGCTGCAGCGTGTGGTGCGGTGCGGGCAGCAAGGAGCTCCTGGCTGCAACAGTTTCGGCGTCAAGGCGCTTTATCCCAATGGGAAGACGAGAGGAGACGGTGGCGGCGAAACGATGATGGTGGTGGGCAGACAAACAGAGCAACAGAGCAGCAGAGCAGCAGACGGATTGCAGTGCAGTCTGGTAAGGCAACGCAAGCAAGGCAAGGTATTGTATGGCAAGGTAAGGTCGGTATGGGGAAAAGGGGACCGGACGAATGATGCAGATGCAGCCCGGCGGCAGAGGTAATTAGGTACTTTGGGACAGTGTACCGTACTTCGTAGTGGATGAGGGATGCAGCAGATGCGGATTGTGGTGCACAAGGCGAGACGAGGCGAGGCGAAGATGAGACCAGCAGCGCGCTGATGACTGTTGCTGCACGGCACTGGCCTTTGGGTAAGGCAAGGCAGGGCACGTAGCCCACCACCCAAGGTACCTTATTACGCGGGCAGGTGAAGAACGGCGCTGGTTGATGATGCTTGGTTTGGTTGCTTGGGTGCTCGAAACCACCTTACGCAGTAGTACTAAGTATTGGTCGGGGATTGGTATGACTTGGGATTGGATGCTGTGCTGGACTGGAAAAGGAGGATTGTCTCGATTGGTGATAAAGATCCGGCAGGCGGGCACGGTGCCGGAGCCAGTGTGCCAGGAGCAGGACGGGAGGGTGTGGAAGTGGATTTCAGGATGGGAATTGAATCTTTACGTACATCACATCCCACACTACTGCTGCAACCTGAGTGGATGTCGATTGTGCTTCTGTGGCCCTGTGGATGCCGATAGTCTTAAGTGTGGATGATGTTGAAGACGTTGAGGCCTGGCTGGTGGTACGAGGACCGAAGCATGCGCCGACGTTCTGACAGCCTTGCTGAGCCTGCCAATTGCAAGGCATCTACGGATAAGGTATCTCACCTGTGGAAGACGAGAGGCTGGTTGTGGTCCATGTGAATCAAATCAAAACCGGTGGTTGGAAGTCGCGGTGGAGGCCGTTCCTTCCTTCCAGTCGGTTAGGAGAACCATAAGGCATCTCGAGGCGCATCCAGGCACAGACGCCGATGCTGGCCACTCAAAGCCGACAATGATGCTGACGATGCTGCAAGGAACTGACTAACCTTACCTTACCTCGCTTTGGTTCGATAGCGTAGCCTCTTAGCGCCGGATATCAGAGACGGGCGACTGGAATTGGCAGCACACTGACGGAGAAAAAAACAGCAACAAATCACGGCATGAAGCTGCATTCTTGCCGCTTCACTGGCTGGCAGTCTCAGGCTCCTCACTAAGAAAAGTATTCTACAAAACACCCCGCTGCTGCCGCTACCACTGCCGCCCGTTCTGGGTCTGACTGCACTTGCAGTTGAGACTCGATCAAGATTTTGTCGCTTTGATTGGCTACAGTTCAACGACAGCCATCTTGGAATGGACAAATGACGATATCAAGTCTGATGGCGCGCGATTCGGGCATACTCAGCAACGAACCATGGAACAATATTGACGTTGACATTGGTGCAGTGCGTCTGTGTGGCCTACGGCAGTCTACCACGACGGCTTCCACTTCTCGAAAGCTGTCCGATGATGGCCGCCCAAGAGAACTCTGCTGTTCATCAGACCAAAGTATGTTCAAGGTTAGCCTCTCGCAATGTGTTTCGCGCCAACCAGCTGTCATGAGATTTACAGGCCATGTGCGATGATGCAAGCCGACAGTGACACTGACAGACGCGATCCAGGAACGCAACGACCTGAATGGGTGGCAGGCAGTCCACGTACAGCGGCAGCGGGGTGGTGTAAGGCAACACCAAGCAACAGGAGGCAAGTGCTGGTTGCAACATCCAGCATTCTGACTGCGAGCTGCCACTAACTGGACTGGTGGTCGCCGTCACTCATCGGCCACGAGATCGGATGTGTGTTCCATGCGCACTGGTGAATGAGAGCCTCGATACTTGATCCCTGAAGGCCCCCCATCAATCAATCTTCACTCCTCCCGTTTGTCTGCCACTCTGCCAATGGCCGGTTTCTCACTTTAATCGGGGCGGACCTCCGTTTCTGGGAGGCATGGGAGGGGGTTCTTTCCCTTCGCAGTGCTCTTGCTGGACATCCACGGCAGGGAGGCCAACACCAGATAAGCGGGTCTGTGGCCCAAAGGGGCATGGCTCCGGCCCGTCCATCCAACTGGGAGACTTTGCGAGACTTGCGAGGGGTTGGTCGTGGTAACTGCCAATCGCGCCAACCGCACCAGAAACATGTTAGCACCTGCCATGTGCTGCCTCCGGCTCGACGTCGCTTCAATGTTTCGACGACTCGTCGCCTCTGCTCTCCTCCTCTCTGCTCCTCTCCCAAGCCTCCTTTGTTTCTTGTCCGTCTCCATCGCTGTCTCCAGTCCACCACGGTCCATGGCCATCACCACCACCATTACTACCACCATTAGGACGGCCGACGAAAAAATTGTGTCATGTCTCCATCCCTTCTTTGCTGCTGGTTTGGGGGGCTTCTACCAAGAGGGTGAGGAGGAGACGACGAACAAAAAAACCCAGACCGACAACAAGAGGTCCGTCCCCCTCGCCGCCCGCCCCAGACTCTCTTTGAGTGAGTTCAAGCGCCACTTGACGCATCTCTTGTTACAATCTGCAGTCTCTGATGGAACACCCGAGGAACGTTTTGAAGCTCCTTCTTTCCGCCTTCCAGCCCGTGTCCACCATGCCTGCTTTCAAGGGGTGCCCAGTCACTGGCCACACCATACCTTACCACAACCACTTACACACCCGCCCATCTTCATATTTCACCTTTGCACGCGAAAGACGAGGCTCCGCAGCAGTGAGATTGACGAGCCCAAGGCGGAAGGACCGCTGGTCTGATTTGCTGGGAATTGCAACGGTCCATGGCTCTATTGATTCCAACCGCCGACCAGCCCACATACCCGACCGGCCATGCCTCGTCGTTCGTCCGCCAGGCACGGATATTGAGTCGGCTCCATCCATCATCCTAGTCGCAATCCCCCTTCGCACCTCTTTCGCCGTCCACTCCAGTCATTAGCTGTGGGGGCCCTGTCCGCCGCTGTTCCGGCCGTCCACACCAGCCGCCTTCGGAGTCCATCCGGCTGCCATCAAGCACACCTTGTTGCTGACTTTCTCTGATCCCGCCAACCCGTCCTATGTCTTCCTTGCCCAGCAACTCCTGTCAAGTTGAAAGAAACAATCGTCAGATCATCCGTTTGCTTGGCGGCTACATTCCCGGCCATCACGACGTTTCCCCGGCCCTCGAGAGTACCGTCCTTGGGGCCTGCTCGGGGCTGTCATGGAACGTCAAGAACCAGGGCATGTGTTTCCTCGAAACATTCAGAGGTCTCATCCGTACCTCGTCTTCGAACCGACCCAACTTGTTGCGTGCCGCACAGATCACTTTCTCACATGTAACCGCACCTGTTTCCTCATGCGCCTGATTACGCACTACAGCACCACGGACGTCACATCGACGTGGCTTGCATGCGAAATGCACAGCATCGTCGGCCTTGCAGTCAGTTCGTTATCTGCAACGATTATCGAGATGAGCTTCGCAATGCTGCATTCGCCAATGCAACCTGGCGGTGGGCATCCGGTTTGAGAATCGGAAAACGACTGGCATTTCTTCCAAACGGGTTCTAGTGGCCTTCTATGGATGCAAGGTGGTTGCATTACACTTTGCGAGCTAGACGAGCTGTCTTGCTTTGCTTTTTCTCAGCTTCTTTGCTCAGCGAGCTTCACATACTGCGCCGCAACTTCCTTTACTACCTCCTCAGCAGTTGCAAACCTGCGTCCGAGTAGCTTCTCGCCGTCGGAGGCATCCGTCGGAATGCTCACAGTTGGCTGCACGCCGCTGTCACTGAGAATGCCCTTTTCAAACGCCTCGGGGAACGCCTTCTTCGCGATTTCCCTTGCCTGTTCGAAATCGAGATGTTGAGAGAGGATGACAGACTGGCCGCCCGAAACAGACGGGGACAACGCAATGACATGCGCGTCTGCTAGATCACCAACCGAGATGTAACCCGTGTTAATGGGGTAGTCGCGCGTGCCGCCTACTAAGAAGTAAAGCAAGGCATTGTTGGAGCCTGCCAGAATAGCTTCTGTCGACGTGGCAAGTTCCTCGTGGCCCAAGACCCAGCCGGGCATAATCGATATGAGGTCAAATGACGGACGGTGCTCCTTTATCCAATTCTCAGAGGCTTCGAGGGCGGCAGTCTTGCTGGCGCTGTACGGGTCCTCGTACGGACGAATGGGCCACGGAAGTCGGGATTGTCCGGTGAAAGCTGGTCGATCCAAACCCTCGCCCTGGAAGCATGACCTCGGCATGATGGCCACAATGGAGCTTGTCACGACGATCCGCTTTACTGTGTCGTTGGCATGCGATAATGCGCTCTGAAGCATGCCTAGGACGCCTTGCACGGCAGGTTCGACGTAGATCTCGTCTTCTCTTCCCAGGCCGCCGTCAGGTTGGAACTTGACCACGGGAGACGCACAATGGATGATGTACTTGGCGCCCTTGACTGCCTCATCGAAAGCGCCCACTGTGGTAAAGTCCGGGACGATAGCCCATTGTAGCTGTGAGTCTGACGGTTCGAGGTCACACAGACTTGGCGCTGCTAGAATCTTCTTGATGCCTGACTGGGATCGAACGGCACATCGAACGCGATATCCAGCTCTCAAGGTTGACAGAAGTGTTCTGAAGCCCACAAAGCCGGTTGCACCGGTCAAGAGTACGAGATCGCCTAACATTGTGTAGAAAGAGGGCGTTGAACAAGATTGTTCAACACGTAGGTCTGGTAAGTTTCTGGCTGCTGTATGCGTCCATATGGTCAAGAAACGCCCCCTCAACTAATAGTCAAATATTGTTTCGGGTTACAAGAGAGGTAAGTAAGATATGAGATCTGGGCATCTGTAATTCACTACACTGGCCAAAGAGCGGACATACCGTAAATACGGCATACACGAAGACACCGTTATGGTATCAGTCTACTTGATTCCTCATCTTCACACAGAAGTCCATTTTACTCCAGCTGGATTTGCCTGGAGGAGATGTCGTCGTATTTGTAAGACACTGGCTTCATTGGCTAGTGAGGCCCCGACCTGCAGCCAAAAATTTACGGCCTCCTACACTGTTGATGCAACATGCCAAAGTCCGGGTTCGACTGCGTTAGAACAGACGGCTTTACTGCTAAGTCCGAGGTTGAAGACCATATCTTGATTTTGTAAGCGAGGATGCTTGGTGTAAGCACTTACGGTGGTCTACGCTGATGGGATTGAGGACCGACCCGTGTTGGATGGCATGGAAGTTGGGGGCGATTTGCACCAAGGTTTCGGGAGTTTAATCTTGACTGAAAAGATCCTCCTAGCAGGGCTGAGTGTTCTTTTTTTTGGCGCACTGAATATGTTCGCAATGCTGATTTTCTCGAGAACGAGAACGAGATGTTGGGAGTGAAGGGCGAGGTGGTGTGGTGTGGTGTGGTATGATGAAGGCTGCGAGGTAATCAGTCTTAAGCTTAGTTGAGGCGTATCCCGCTAGAGTTTGACAGGTCGGCGGTGGAAACCGTAAGGTCTGTAGCAACCTCAGGCTGGAGGTGCGACGATACGATGCCGAATCGACATCATCGGGATGTCTCTCCTCAATGAACCACAGTCATCCTCGAAATCATCTGCCCAGCTTAGCTCCGTTGTCAACACCTCGACGACTCAAGAATCGCCCCTCGTTTTCGGGTTCCAGAAGCTGTACGGTCGAAGAAGAAAACAAGAAGCCGCACGTTATTCCAGAAGCACAACCCTTGCCTCCGATTGACTTTCTGCTGCACGAACTTCAGTCAACCCTTAGTAATGCATAGAGTTCTCGGCGCGCCGGACAACTGAAGCCCGGCCGGAAGAGATCCATGTTGATGGAGGTGAGGCGTGCCGGTGGGTGGGGCCGAGAGAAAACATGGCCCGTGCACACCCTGCTTGTTTGACGACATCCCGTCGTAGCTGGGCGCGTCGATTCAGTCGCGTCTGTGTCTGGCCGCGGGGGAAGTGAGTGAACTACCAGTATTGCAATCCACACACCGACGACCGACACAACTCCACCGGCATCCCGACTTCGTATCGCGGCCGTGATGCCACGGATTGAATCAGTTATTCAGCTCTAGGCCTCACACACGCCCCCCTCCTACCAAGCTCAACCGACGACGAAAGCGAGGGTGTAGCACCCCATCGCAAAACACACACCGCGACAATGTCGTTCAACACACCCACCACCGGCCGCGACGGCGCCTCCTTCCTCTCCGACGACGACGACCCCCTCTTCTCCTCCGCGATCATGGACACGCACACAGGCCGTCTCAACGCCGCAGCCCGCACCCCGACCGCCCGCGCCCGCGCCTTCAGCCTCGACCCGCCCTCCAGCCGCGCATCCCTCCAGACGCCCTCGAACCCGCCCCCGCTGCGCTCCTCGCTGCGCAGCTCGGCGTACCGCGGCGTCCCCGGCACGCCGGGCCTCTCGGCCTCGGGGCGGCGGAGTTTGGCGGCCACGCCGCATGCGCGAGCGGCGTATCGCACGATCGACCAGCGGCGCGCGGCGGCGCTCACGCCCGGCGGGAAGAAGCGAAGGGAAAGCATACGCCCGAGGCGGGAGAGCATGTTTGATGTGCTGCGGGGTCTTAGTAGGGTGGCGAAGCACGACACGCAGGCGATCGCGTCGAGTTCGTCGCCGAGCGAGAACGGGGCGACGGGGCGCGCGACGAGTTTGCCGATTCGGAATAGGAGCTTTGCGTATGACGAGGATGATGATGAGGATGACGAGCTGCCGATTGATCGGCCGCGGCTGTCGCTGCCGCTGGATGCGGACGAGGATGATGATGAGGATCTGGTGCCGCCGCGGCTGAGCGATGTGAATGACGAGAATGCGACGATCGAGTTCTCGCGACGGGCGTACACGGAGCAGAATAGCCGACTGTCGATGGGTGATGTGAGGGAGTACCGGGACTACGGGGATTTGGACGATGACGATGATGGGGGCGGGTTTGATCCGGGCTTTGTCGATTTTGACGAGGACGGGAGGGAGAGGGAGCGGAGTCTTGAGAGGTGAGAATCCAACGATTATTCTAAGAGGGAGAAGACGGTTGTGCTGACGATTATGTTTAGGATTGAGGAGGACGCGACGAGGCGGGAGACGCTGATCCCGGCGCGGGAGAGCGACTTCGGGTTCCAGGTGCCCGTGGACGCGGACGCGGACCAGACGACGTTCATGATGGCCGTCGAGGGGCAGAGCTCGCCGGCGCGGCCGCTGCCCGAGATCACGGACGAGCAGCCGTCCATTAACATCGGACCGCTGCCCGGCGACCAGCCGCCGCCTGCGTTCGGGGACTTTGAGGACTACGGGCCGGCGTACGATCTGCGCAGCTCGAGCCCGGAGGATTACGGGCCGCCGGCGCCGGAGGAGGACGGGATGGATCTCACTGGCGTGGACGCGGATGCGACGGAGGAGGAGGGCGGCGAGGCGAGTGTGCATCTGGAGCAGAGGCGGAAGCAGCTGTCGAAGAAGGGGCTCAAGCTGTCCAGGTATGGTGTGGAGTACCCCTCGCTGCCGCCTGCGGTGGTGAAGAGGCTGGCGGGGACGTTTGCCAAGTCGAGCGGTATCACGAAGACGAAGATTAGCCCGGAGGCGCTGGCGGAGATTCAGCGGGCGTCGGACTGGTTCTTTGAGCAGCTTGGGGACGACCTCTCTGCGTACGCGAAGCATGCGAAGAGGAAGACTATTGACGAGAGTGATATGCTTACACTCATGCGAAGGTATGTTGCCCCTTAGGAGAAACATGGTGGCCCGGTTTTGGGTATCTACTTTTTCTTTCTTGTCACAGATTGTACATGTGTGGTGCTGATATTTTACATTTACAGACAACGCCAGACCAACTCGACGACTACGCCCTTCTCCCTGGCACAGAGACACCTGTCCCGGGAGCTGCTGCAGGAGTTGAGAATGCCCAAGCCATTACCGCCTGCCGAGCCTAGGAAGAAGCGGCGCTCCACAAAGGGCGGCGGGGAGGATGGGAGCTGAGACTGATTGAGTCTAATTTTACCAGTGCTTGTTCATGCGAACCCGGCGAGAGATGTCGGACGCAGGCTTCTTGACGACCATCCACAACATGATGGACGTCGCAAAGGCGAGACCATACCTATGATTAATGTCAGCATATACCTATGGGAATCAGGAACGGAAAGGGGGGGAATACCATGTAAATATGTACTGGGCGTGGTTGTTCCGCAGGTTCACTTCTGCGGCTCTGCCGATGGGAATGCCCCTAGACTTGAGGTCGACGATACGGAAGAACTCGTGCTCTGCGCGAGCGTAAGCATGCTGTACAAAAGAACGAAACACAACGAAACATACCCATAGTAGCCTCAATCCATACCGGTTGGCTGCCCGTAAGCTCCGCCATCTGGTGAACGTCGGGAAAGAAAAACTCCCACCTATCCGGCCTGTTCTCGGGCGTGAACATGTTCTTCTTCCACGGCTCCCGCAGCAGGCCCTCGACGGTGACCTCCCCCTGCGGCAGCCCGTACGGCCGCTTGCCCTGCTCCGCCATGGCCTTGCTGATCCACCCGCGGTTCACCAGCACCGTCGTGCCGTCGCCCTCGCGCTCGAGCGGCGTGACGACCATGTAGCCCTGCTCGCCCTCCCACATGCGCGGGCCGATGAGCATCTCCTTGTCGTGGCGGAAGCGGCCGGTGGCGTAGACGCGGCGGTAGTCGAACTCGCTGACGGCGTCCGGGTCGATGCGCGGCGGGAGGGGCAGCGGGTCGCGGACGAGGCGGTCCTCGTACTTTGCGATCAGCTTCGTCTTCCAGTCCAGGCGCTGGACCTGCCATGTGCCGAGGACGAAGGCCGTCACGGGGATGAGGGCGAGGATGATGAGGCCCGGCCCGTGGCGCCGGCCGGTGCGGACGAGGTCGGGGGGGTTGTCGACTATCGAGTGGAAGTCGGGGCCCGGTTGGACGTCGGCGCGGCGGGGGGTTGTGTGGAAGTGGCGGCGGGAGGAGGGTGCTGATGGAGGTGGTGGTGTTTGGCGTAATGATGCGCGGAGGGCGATTGACTTTAGGCAGAGGTTCGTCGTGGGAATTGGCGCCCGGAGGAGGGCTCGTGGTATTGGCGGCGGCATTTTGACTATTGTTGGCTGGCGGGAGGACGACCGCTGTGTTGGCCGAAAGTGAAGCTTTCCTCGAAGATGAGGTCAGGACGATTTGGATTTTTGGGGTCTCGATGTGCCCCCCTGTAAGTACCTACCTCCAGCTGCCCCGAGAGGAGCTGCAGCGCGGGAGGTTCGGTGGCGTGGCGTTGGGTGTGGGGTTCCCTTGGGGTGGTGTGTGTGGTGTAGGCCTTGCCGGATTGGTGCTGTCTCGGACGGAAAGCGGAAAGGGAGGACGCAACGGACGACACCTTGTCCCTTGTCATCATTGCATGTGCGTTTTTGATATCTAGTCTGCGGGATCACATTCACTGTTGAAGTGTTTGACTCAAACTGGCAGACGCAAACTTGTGGTGAATTACGAAGCTTCAAACGGATCGTTGCGACCCTAGAAGCGTTTGCAGAAGCTCTATTTAAGGCAGCACGGAGCTGTTCACATCTCAAGCTTCAGGTTCTCCAATCTTCTACGCCCAGACCATTGCGCCAACAGCTTCGATATCGCCATGTTCTTCACCGGAAGCTTGCAAGAGGGCATCGCCTCTGCGCTCCAGCAGAGCAAATGCGTCTTCTGCTTCGTGACAGGTAAGCTCATTTACGCCGACGACGCATCGACCACTCACTCACATGCCCACAGATGAGCAGGAAGAGAGCCAGCGCTGGGAGACCGAGTATCTCACGGAGGATTCTGTAAGTCTCCCTTCTTCACCCATTTGAGCCATAATCTCACACTACCAGGTCGCTACTCTTCTCCAAGATGAAGCCGTCGCTCTGCGTCTGAAGCAGGGCTCAGAGGAGGCCGGCTTCTTGGCCGCCATCTTCCCACTCCCAAACACGCCTACCGTGGTGGTCATCAAGAACGGCGATCTGAAGGAGTACATCGTCGCTGGCACGACCAAAGATGAGTTTGTCCGACGTCTGACGACTGCGTTCCGCGGCGCTCAGGGCCAGCCCGCCGCGGCGCAACCTACCCAGCCGGCTCCCGCCCCGGCGCCGGCAGCTCAGCCGGCCGACGACCTGTACGACGAGGAGCCATATTCCGCCCCTCAAACTACCACCCAGACCCAACCGCAGACCACTGAGCCCACCCCGGCAGCAAACACCCAGACAGACCGCGAGCGTGAAAACGCCCGCGCCCTACAAGCCGTCCTCGCCGAGCGCGCCGTCCGTCTCGAGGCTGAGCGCGCCGAGAATGAGCGCAAGGCCAAGGAGGCCCGCGCCGCGAGGGCGGAGGCCGATAACTCCAAGCAGGCGGCGGACACCCGCAACCACAAGGAGGCCCTCAAGAAGGCGCGCCAGGAGGCCGCCGAGGAAAAGGCGCGGATCCTTAAGAAGATCGAGGACGACCGTGCCGAGCGCCGGGCCAAGGCCGCCCAGCGGGCCGCGCTGCGGGAGAAGGAGGCCGAGCCGAAGCTGGGGGACGTCGCTGCGGCGCTGACGAGGTCTGAGTCGAGCTCCCTGGCGCCGGGGAAGTCTGCGTCGAGCGGCATGACTGCCCTGCAGGTGAGGCTCCTGGACGGGTCGACGATCCGCAACCGGTTCTCGAGCGGGAAGAAGATGGCGGAGGTCAGGAAGTGGGTGGACGAGGCGCGGACGGATGGGGGCAAGGAGCCTTACCGGTTCAAGGTCGTGCTTGCGCCGCTGCCTAGCCGGAAGATTGACGACACGGAGGAGGGCAAGAATCTTGCGGACTTGGGGCTCTCGCCTTCGTCTACTCTGGTTCTGGCGCCTGTTGGGGCGCATGTTAGTGCGTATGAGGGCGAGGGCTTGGGAGGCATGCTGATCACGTTCTTGATGATGCCGCTTTCATTGCTGCAGTGGCTCTGGGGACTGATTACTGGTGTGTTTTCTGGTCTCGGCAGGAGGAACGAGGAGGGGGCGGCGGAGCCGGTCACGGTTAGAGAGCAGCGGAAGGGCAGGTTCTCGCAGTTTGAGAATGCGGATGATCGGAGGGGGGACCAACAGTTTTACAACGGCAACTCGGTAAGTGCAAATTTCCACCGTTGGAATGAGGCGGATGCTAATCCTTGCAGACCAACTTTGAGCCACGACCCGACGAGAAGAAGGACGAGTGAGAGGGCGAGGTCACGACAAGCAACAACTTAGATGAGGTTAAAACACAGGTTGGCGAGTGGGAATTTCCATCTATTGTACACCTAGGAGATGTAATATACTTTCGAGAAAGCCCCTCATTCTGAAAATGCTTCCGCCAATGCAAAATGCCCGTGATGAATCAACCCCAATGGAGCAGGCCTTGAGCCCATACGCTCCTTTGTTGATATTTTGGTTCCCATTTCCGTTGTGTTACATTAAGTACATAAAAACATCCGACGTTAACTCGGCATCGTCCAAGTCGCCCCAACGCAGCGGACTGCGAATCAGCACCTCAGGAAAAGAAGCTTAGTACTGGCTAGCGGCAGCCTGGCAAGCCTTGAGCTGCTCGAGGTACCAGTTGCAGATCTGCATGTTGCCGTTCTGCTCGTCCATGCACTTTGTGAACTGCTGGGTGGCGCCGGCGCAGTTGTTGCCCCATTGGGAGGTCGTCTGGGACTCGGCAACGGGGGAGGCGGACTGAGCCTGGGCGGGGGCCTCGGAGGAGCCGCCGGAGAAGAGGCCGCCGATGGCGTGGCCGACGGAGGAACCGATGGCGACACCGCTGGAGGGGTTGTTAGCATTCTGTCATGGTCTTTGCGGCTTTGGGGCGGGGTGAGGTTCCAGTTTCGAGGTTTGGGGAGGAGGATCTCGAGGGACGGGACGGGACGTACGCAGCGGTGCTAGCCATCTGGCCAAAGAGACCGGGGCCCTGAGAAGGGGCGGCGGCGGCCGGGGGAGCAGCGGGGGGAGCGGCGTGTTGAGGGGGAGCGGCCATCGTGGTGGCAGGGCGAGCTTGGGTGGGAGCGGGCTTGGAGGCCGGGGCGGTGGGGCGCGAGGGGGCGCGGCCGACGGAGCGTTGACGAGGCATCTTGGATGTGTGTGTGGTGGTGGTTTGTGTGGTTCGTTTGCGGCGGGCGACGATTGTTGATGTCTTGGGGATATGTAGTTTTTGGCGTGGATTGGGAGGGAAGTCGGCAGAAGTTATGCGCCGGAAGGGTATGCGAAAGGTGGTTTGGAGCTCGGCTTTTTTTCTGGGCTTTCGGCCGGGGGGTGGCGAGGTGTGGCCAATCAGCAGAGGGCGAATTCGGTCGTGGTCCAGAGCGTGGAGAAGGGTCTTTTGTTTCTTGTGATTGGTGGGTATGCTTCAGAGGGGCATATCGCTAAAAAGGGGTACATTGAGATGCGGTTCTGTCTTTGGTGATTTCATTAAGTGATTCCGTGTCTATTTGAGGGTATAAACTTTTGATTCCGATGCGTGAATGATTCCTTCTCCCATTGCAATGTGCTGATTTCCTCTGCCTGAAGCCGAGACTAAAGCTCGTATGTCCGTGTTGCGGCCGCCTGCTTGCCACCTGTTTAGCCGCAGGATCCGGAGAGCAGTCTCCCACGCAGGCAACCCTCGTGACCCTGAGTCACATTCTGGATCCAGTCCGACCGAGTGCAATTCCTTTGCTGCATATTTCGCCAAACAATCATAAACCTGCTCTCAAGACTTGTTCTTCTTGCCGGAGCTCTTTCTCCTTGAGTTCCTCTGCTTCTTCTCTGGGCCGGAGGAGCTCGCTGACGGTGAGTCTGGAGCTGGTCTCTTTGTCTTCTGCATGGAGTTGAGAAGCGCCTTAGCACGCTCCTCGGCCAGCTTCTCCTCCAGTTTCTTCTTCAGAACCTTGTCGTCGCCCTAGTATTGTCAGTATGATTCGCCGAGCACGTGAGATGGGAACAACTCACCAGATCCGCCTTGAGGATTCTCGTCGCTGCTTCCGTGTTGACAGTCATAGTCCGCTGGGCGGGGTTCTGTGCTTCCTCAACCTGCTTGATCTTGCCAAAGTACTGCTGCACGCGCTTCAATTCCGTCATGACATTGTGATCCTTGGCGTCGACGCCTTGAAGGCGGAGGGAAGCTGTGAGATGGTTAGTTGATGGGCTGGGAGAAACGAGGGGCGTACTGACAGAAGAGGAGGGACTCGATGGCGTAGGCGGTAAGAGCGAACATTTTCGCTTTGTCGAGAAGGGGCAGCTCGCTGGACATCTGAGGCAGGTCGGAGACTAGGGGCTTAAGAGCATCCTCGAGAGAGTCAATGTGAGTCTCGAGCTTGTCGAGCTCATTCGACATATCCTTCATTGCCATCTTGAAATTTTGTCGTGTCAGATTGAATGATGGCGGTGTTCTTCTGATGAGTTAAAGGAAGCACCAAGAAAGAGTGAGCAGCGACGCGTTGATACAGAATGTCACCCTGATTGAGACCGCGATGAGATTGATGTTGAAAACTCAGAAATCCGGTTATGGAAGGATGATCATGCATCTAACGAGGTACTGGGGTACCTGCAGGGCCAGTGGGTCGGGCCTGCGAGCCGGGAATCGACGGCTCCCACGTTGAGCGCCAAATTTTTGAGGTTAATGTCCCCGTCATTAGTCTTCGCCGCCTTCCAACTCCGATAACGACCCTCGGTCTTAAAATAACGAATTGGCCGCCCCTCGCGCTCCGGGCCTCCTTGACATACACGACGAAATATCTTGGTGGCACACGCAAGAACCACGCTTCTTTTTCACCTTGCAAATCCGACGAACATCGCGCAGCGCATGCGCCGAACCCACCAACCCGTCACCGTGGCAGTCACTTTGGCAAGCCTTCCGAGACCGCGGCTCTCCGCGCGGATACCTAAAGCACAGTCGATATGGAAAGCAGGTAGCACTTGCGCCGGCCGGGGAGCCAGATGCGTCTCGACAGACACCTCGAACAAACTAGGCCTCGGGAGACCAACCCATGGCATTGCCCCCGGGAAGGTGGCGCCCAACGAGATGATGGCGACGGTACCTGGTTCCTCGACACTGGGTGTGCCAGAAGCGACGAAGGAGAAGTTTAATAAAGTCTTGGGTCTGCAACCAGAGCAGCACGAGAAGGAGCTCTACGCCATCTTCAAGGCGGATTCTCTGTCGAGGTTCTACGTGCCTGCCGTAATGATGGGGCACGACTCACCGCCGCCGCCATCGTCGAGGATGGTACATATTCTGGGGGCAGATGAAAAGACAAAATTCATATCGCATGCGCTACACGGTGTTTACGACTCGGTACAGACGCTCGATATACCGAAGGACACACGCTATGTGAACGTCACTGGTAATGTGAGCAGAGATTCTAAATGGAAGGAAAAAGCACCCTGGAGTGATCGCAACCATGCGTTTGCAGAGCGTTCGGAATCTGTCGAGGACGACGGCCATATCAGCAATCTTATCGTGGGCGGACGACCTGGCCAGGTACTCGAGGCGCTGGGCAAGGTCCGGCACCGCGTGGACGACCGGACCGCCATCTGCTACATGTCAGACGGGCTTGGAGTTGCCGAGGCCGCGAATAACAAGTATTTCAAAGATGAGGAAAAGCGGCCCTCTATCGTTCTCGGGCACTTCAGCAGCCCAGTCGCATATAACAGGAATTCCAAGTCGGTGCGGGTTATGCATCCAGACTACGCCACATCACTCACGGGGGTGCGACCGCTCGTGGAGGGTAGGGACGAATACCTCTCGGAAACGGCATGGCTTAGGACGCAGTCTATGCTGCAGAAGTTCGCGACGGCGGACTTGCTCAAGGCCCAGGGGATGCAGCTCGAAAACTGGATGAAGGTCAAGATCCCGGCGCTGATGTTCTCGGCTGTCGCAGAGCCGATCTGTGTGCTTCTGGATAGGCCGTACAAGGACCTGACTAGAAACCGCCACGCCAACTTGCTGATGGACCAGCTTTTGGAAGAGATCGCGGATGTGGTGGCGATTATGCCGGAGGTAAAGCGGTCGCCGGAGCTGCAAAACATGCTACGGAGAGGGTACATGAAGAAGATGATCATGAGCCAACTCTGGGGGAAGAAGGATGCACCAAGCAGGATGGCATTGCAGATCCGGAGGGGCGCGCTTACGGACATCGACTATCTGAATGGATTCTTCATCCAGAGGGGTGAGATGGCGGGCCTGAAGCTGCCTGCGAACAAAATGGCCGTCAGTATGGTCAAGGCGAAGCATAAGACCGTCTGGAGAAAGACTCAGTCGTATGTTCATGTAGAGGAGACTTCAAGGCGGTAGATCAGGCATTAGCATTTGGACATTTTAATAGCGACATGATTTGTATGATTTGATTGGAAGTAGACGAGACGAATTCTGTTAATCTGACGAAGAACGCTATGTTGGATATGTCCTGCCAGTGATATGTCACTGCGTCAGCTGGCGGTCAGACCACCCACGACCCCCAAGCAAATTGGCTGTGAAATTTGTAAGGCGCCAGTTGAGCAAGGTAACCCCGCCAAAAAATGCCGTCAGGCAGGGCGGCCCCGCGTTTCCTTGAACCAAACATCAACACCGGCGCAACCCACGCATCACTCCCCAGGAAAATGGATGACTCCGAGCTTGACCAGGTGAGCGCACCCCCGATTCCGCGGCTGCTGTTGCGTTGAGGCAAGATAAATGCTAACACCACATGCGCGCCGCAGATTCGCAAGGCCCGCCTCGAGCAGCTCAAGGCGCAGGCCGGTGCTGGAGGAGGTTCCGGCGGCGGCGGCGGCGGTTCCCAGCAGAAGCAGGCCGAGCAGAGGCAGTACGTCATTTCGTCATTTCATTCCCCTTCACTTTCTTTCGCAAAGAGATTTGCTGACTTTACGGACGCATGACATAGACAACAAGAAGCCGAAGCGAGACAGCAGATCCTCAACCAGATCCTCCACCCCGAGGCCGCGGACCGGCTGGGCCGCATCCGCCTCGTCAAGGAGCAGCGCGCGCAGGACGTCGAGAACAGGCTCATCATGCTCGCGCAGTCGGGGCAGCTACGCAGCAAGGTCACCGAGGCGCAGCTCAAGGAGCTGTTGGCTGCCGTCGCGGAGAACAAGGAGGAGGAGAAGATTGTTGTCAGCCGGAGGAAGGGATGGGACGACGATGACGATGACTTGCTGGATCTGTGAGAGGGGTGCGTGAGGAGATTCTTCGGGCACGCCGCTCTCGCTGCGGACGGGGGCGTCATACAAAAGTCAGGCATCTGCCATGCAACTTGCCGCACACGAGATGAATGTGCCGGCGATGGAATGGCGTTATTAGCATGCTGCAACCGCAGATTGGTTTGCGACTATTGCAGTGCACCGCGAAAACTACAATTTTTAACCTACAGTACAAATACAATGCTCGTCATGATTCCCGAGAGAGAAAGCTACGGACTCACAGCCGCCTTCTCCATGGCCTTCTTCCTCTCCTCCCGCTCCTTCTTCCGTATCGCCCTCATATTAGGCGGCCTCTCAATCCCTAGCTCAGCCCTCAACTCGTCCACGTCCCGCTCCATCTGCTCCTCCCAGTAGACATTAATAACCTCCTTGGCCCTCAACCCGTTCCTGACCGCCCACGGCCCGTAAATCTCCCTGAACCGCCTGCGCTCCCCCTTCTTCAGCGTGACGTAGCTCATCGTCGCCAGGCCCGTCATGGGGATCAGCGTGTTGGCGAACTCGAACGCCTTGAGCGCGACCTCGCCCTCCCTCACCACCGGCAGGCCCGTCAGCGCGTGGTAGAAGTCGTGGCACTCGCGGTAGCGCTGCATGACGTACGCGCACTCCGGGTCGTCGATGAAGCGCACGCTCGTGCGCGTGTCCGGGCTGACGCCCTCGGCGTCGAGCCAGGCGACGTAGGCGCGGCCAACGCTGTTGTCCGGCAGCTGCCGCAGGCGATCGAGGTTGAGGGTGGTGGAGGTCATGCGCGGCCGGTCGCGGAGGATGCGGCGGCCGGTTGGGTCGGCGAGCATGGCGTCGCGGAGGCGGTAGATGAAGTAGGGTGTTGCAGTGGCCTCGCCGACGGCGGCGATGAGGTCGGCGCGGTACGGGGAGAGCAGGGACCAGATGCCGGCGCCGATTGCGAGGGAGGCCTTTTCGATGCGGTTGAGGGGGACGTGGCCTTCGTAGTTTGGCGGCGGGCGGTTGAGAACGGAGAAGGGGCGGGAGGATGGTGTTGTCGTCGTGGTGGCGGCGTAGAGGGCGGGGAGGGCGCCGTTTGCGCGGGGAAGGGTGCGAAGAGCTTTCATTTTTGGATGTGGGAGGTGACTGAAACAGAATATGGTGCGCAGAGGAAGCGTTTCACGGCAAGAAGGTGGGATTGGAGCTTTTTGGAGCTATGAGCTCAGCTCGGCGTGGTGGTGGTTCGATCACGAAATGCAACTTTTGGGAGCTCGGACGATGTCAATTACCTCACAAAGTACCCCCGAATGGCGCTGCAGAGGGGCCGAGAGGTCGGGGCATCGGCGGGGTTTAGCACCGACCTGAAATGGGGGGTGGCATTCCAGGGTACCTATTTTCCGATAAATTCGAGACTGCGTCGAGAAGCCAAAAGTTCGGATTTGGCAAGCTTTCCTGGGGCGGCGAGGCCCCGCAGGCGAGGTATGATTGGCCAGTCTGGTTTTTGACGGGTGACCGTCTCATCTTGAGCTTGAGTCTCTTTCAACGCTCCATCCATAACTTACAAGCTTGAATGACTCTATTCTGGAACACCGTTTTGATTGCGGAGCTGTGATTTTGATCTTAGCAGTCAGCCATGTTATGAACGAGACTCCGAAACATTGTTCGTGTTGATATACGGTTGCCGTTTTCGCTCATTTCAGAGACCGGCCGGTGTAACTGGAACTCATCCAGACCGTTTAAGAGGCTTAGTTACACGATTAAAGTTGGCGGCTTTGGTGGGCATTTATCCTCACTGTCGGAGTGTTTTATTCAATCCAGGGTATCCCGTTGAGGACCATCTATCACGGACACGACGGACAGGAGAAGATCCAATTATATCTCAACACTCATCCACTCACCATGGACGCCATCGAGAACCTCTTAGCCTGGGCAAAGACCCAAGGCATCACAATAAGCAACGTCGGGCCTCAAGCTCTACCCGGCCGCGGCATAGGCATCGTCGCAACCTCACCCATCAAAGTCAGCCTCCCCTCCCTCATCCTCGCCCGCAACGTCACTAATACAACCCCCAGAAAGACGACGCCGTCCTAGACGTGCCCATCCCCTGCCTGAAAACAATTACCACAGTCCCCAAACCCATCTCCCGCCTCTTCCCAAAGGACACCGCCGTCCACGCCCTCCTCGCCGCCGACATCGCCCTCGATACCTCCCCCTCCTTCAAAACCTGGTCCGCCGTCTTCCCAACACCCGCAGACCTCTCCTCCTGCCCGCTCACCTGGCCCGCCGCGCTCACAGCCCACCTGCCCCCGACAGCGGCCGCCCTCCTCGCGGCACAGTCCGAAAAGTTCGAGGCTCACTGGTCCCTCGCCGCCGCCGCCCTCCCGGACCTGGACTACGCCGCCTACCGCCACGCCTGGCTGCTCGTCAACTCGCGCACCTTCTACCACGTCACCCCGCGCACGGCCAAGCGCAGCCGCGACGACCACATGATCCTGCAGCCCGTCGCCGACCTGCTCAACCACGCCTCGCGCGGGTGCAACGTCGCCTTCGACACCGAGTCCTTCACCATCCGCGCGGACAGGGATTATAGTCCCGGGGAGGAGATCCACATCTGCTACGGGCGGCACAGCAACGACTTTTTGCTGGTGGAGTACGGCTTCGTGATGGGGGATGGGGAGAACGAGTGGGATGAGGCGTGTCTTGACGAGGCGCTGCTTCCGAGGTTAGGCGCCGTGCAGAGGAAGAGGCTCGAGGAGAGGGGGTTCCTGGGGAAGTGGATGGTCGATGTGGAGACGGTGTGTTATCGGACGCAGGTTGCGTTGAGGAGTATGGTGCTGCCGGCGAGGACGTGGGCGAGGTTCGTTGATGGGTTCGAGGACGGGGAAGGGGAGCAGGCCGAGGTCGATGAGATTCTGAGAGAGGTGCTTGTGGCGTATGACGAGGAGATCTCCCGCAAGGTTGAGCTGATAAGTAAGCTGAACGAGGGCGAGGAGTTCCAGCGGGAGATGCTTGTGATGCGGTGGGGGCAGATACAAGAGCTCGTCCGCACGACGATACAGAAACTCAAGACGAGATGAAAAATGTGAATACAGTAACTTTGATAAGCAAACGCAGCCTGGATGTGTGTACAAGGTGCGGTTTCTTCAAACAACTCTAACGCCAGGACCGAGCTGCCGGAAACCATTCTTCCCATGCAATCAAAATTCTAATAGTACACTTTGTATCCGATCCTGTGACTTAGCAAACGAGCAGACAGCATTGGTCTCATTCTATCCAGCTGTACAATGTGCTGGGACTGGTGACCTGTTCGCGAGCAACACTCCATTATTCGTCGAAACTCTCCCATTGAAGTCCAAGACACTAATTCGAGGTGGGGCGTGGGTGAGTTGCCGAAGAGCCTTTTCTCCAGGAGCCCTACTCCGGCCGAGGTCTCTTTGCACCGTGAGGGTTGCCCCAGTCGTTGCCTCCGCCCTGGTTTCCTCCAAAGAATGCTGGGTTGAACTGTTGGGGCATGCCATGGAAGCCTGTTTTGTCGTTAGCGTGCGGCTCTCCACCGACGAAATAACTGTAACTAAAAGCAAAACAGAAGTAGGGTTAAAGAAAGCTTGAGCTTGTCCAGGAGGCTGCCCGGAGCCTGAAAAAGGCATGACCGTCACGGCTCAGGAGAGGCTCTGGCCAGCCAGTCTTCCAGACGTCGGTTCCTCAGGTCTGGCAACTCCGCCATTACTTCCGCTGCACGTTTGCTCCTCAGGTCTGCCGCCTCCACTGCTACGTCCGGTGAACGCTTCCGTTTTGTAGGTTGCCAAGGATTGGGATGAGACGCAGAGAGAACGGATTGCCCGGGAGCGAAAGAAGAAAATAACGAAAATGGCCAAACGCTCGGTTCAGATGGAAAAGGGGATTGGCCAGGGGGAAGAGCAATTGAACGTGAAGGACGAAGTGGAAATCCACAGGGAAAGGGGGTCGTACCAGGCATTCCGCCGCCCATCATGTTCATGTTGGGCATACCTCCCATCGGCATACCGCCCATCGGTCCCATACCCATACCACCCATCGGGTTGTTCATGCCGCCACCACGGCCGCCGCGCATTCCAGGACCGCCGCGCATACCTCCACCGAAGCCGCCGCCCCGGTTGAAGCCGCCGCCGCCGCCGAAGT